ATATTACAGTCATCACACATAGTTCACAATAAGCATCACGAGCAGTTCATATAGATATATCGACAACACATAAATGCAAATAAACTTCAGAATCACAATTAGGTTCATTGACAACCACAAATGCAAATAAAATTCACTGAGTGCAATGGTGTCCACTGAGTAGTCACTGAGTAGTCACAAGTAATCCACAAATGCAAATACAAATAAAATCACAAGTAGTCACTGAGGAGGCCACGGTGTCCACTGTGACCACGCTGGGTCATGAGGCTCATTCGATGCCGCTGATTGATTCTGCACAAAGGAAAAGAGATAAATCATTCTAGTTTCTAGTTTATTTCTAGTTTGTAAACTATAAATCATTCTAGTTTCTAATTTATTTATAGTTTCTAGTTTATTTCGAGTTTCTAGTTTCTAGTGTCTGGGCATCTTTGTAAGATTTATTCTGCATAAACTAGAAATAGTGATTATAAGGTTGTGAAGTGACTCACAGTGCCTGAAACAGTATTTGGAGCAGGTCGAGGAGGAGGAACTGACATCGGTGGCGGAGGTTGACCGATTGTAGCATAAACACCCCTCATATATTCAAACATCTGCAGCCGCTCTGGCTCCATCCTCTGCCGCTCTGGCTCCATCTTCGCCTCTAGCTCGTCTTGGCACATCGTTTCTTGTTCCAGCTGAGCCTACAATATTTCATCCCAATGTTACAATTCAATGCAAAAGTATGTAAAAATCAATGAATGATGAATAAAACAGAAATAACCTGGAGTGCGTTCACTTGGAACCGTGTAGAGTCCGGCCGTGGGCGTATTGCCGAGCTGGAACTCGTGCTCCGTGCTTGAATTTGGGAGAGTGGGAGTACTGGCCGTGTCGATTGTGTCGTCGCCAATCCAGAACCAGACATGCTTCTTGCCTCCTCCCACCCTCATGACCACTTCTCCATCAAGGTCATGGGTGTTCGGATCGTACTCTAGGTCATGGACCGCCCTTGCCATCGATGTGTATCCATCTCCTTGCCCTTGTGGGCCAAAGCATATGCCATAAACTGGGAGCAAGGCTCGCCACCATGTGCTACAGGCTGTAAAAAAGCAATATGATTAGAAATTATGCAGAATTGATTGTTAGAATAAAAAAATGAATTCGCGTACCCATCTAGCCGCGTATTCTGAGAGGTTGAGGTTGTCTTGATGGTGTGGTGCACCCGGCATCAGCAAATGCCGCTCCCGGCAAGCGTTGTGATTCTCCTCCCACGCGGGGTTGCACCACCTGTCCACCATCTGGGCCCAACACTGCAGATCATAGGCGCACCACCACGGAGACACATACGTCATCAAGTATATGACATACAAGAAGATGAAATTAAGCGTAATTAATCTTTAGGAAAAATAAGTATTAATGTCTCTTTCGAACGGGAGACGCCTAGTTAGGTTACATGATATACGAACATCCTATGTTTCACATCATACGGAAAGAGGGGTGTAGGATGCCTCACCTTGCTGTCCTGCAAAGTGACAAGTCAAGGACGGTGGAGAATGATAGCCTCTCCTGCAACAAAGGAACATAATAAGTGTTAATTGTAAATTTCGGCAACACCTCCCCTGCACGGTGAGGTAACCAAAATCTGCAACAAACCAACGGCACGATGGCCGACAACCACATACACAAATACTTTCACATGTATTCTAACAGACACCGTGAACATACACTTTGTTGTTCCTATGAATCACAATATAAAATATGGTACAAAGCATAGCTAGCTGAAAAATAGCAGCCCTAATAATACCACGGTACAAAGCAAAGCATAGCTTCGATTTACATTTCCTGCAACCAATCCACAAAAATGAGACACGCCATATTGTCAATGTTGTACTCACATGCATGTGCATCAGTAAACACTAATCTATTTCTAAACTAGAAATACTAATCAGCATTTCAGTAATATAATTTACTCAAATTTCAATTCCATGATTGCCAAGATATATACTCGTAAGTCTTGGCAATTTAACAGTGATTGGAAATGATAAAAACATAATCAAGTAATTTGTAACTAGCTGGTTATATATATATACATACTAACATTGTGTTTTTTACCTTATCAAGTGACGAGATGGTACCGGGGGGAGGGCGCCGGCAGCCGGGGGGCAGGGCGCCGGACGCTGGAGGGCAGGGCGCCGGACGCCGAGGGGCCAGGGTCGGCGAGGAGCCGCAGCTGGTGCAAAGGGCGGTGGCGCGTGGGGGCGGGCCGGCGCGCGAGCAGCAGCAAAAGGGGGCAAGGCAAGGCGGGGGCGATCGTCGGCCCACTTGGAGGCGGGGCGCCGGGAGGCGTCGAACGCCGGGGCCGAGGGGTGGCAGGAGCCGCCAATGCAGTGCTGCCAGTGCAGGCAGCAAGTGCGAGCGGGGCCAGCGGGGCGAGAGGCGGGGGCCGTGGGGCGACAGTGCTGGGGCAAGGGGCGACGGCGGGTGTGTGTGCACGGCGGGGGCAGGGGGCGTGTGGGTGGGTGGCTATATGTGTGCGTGCGTGTGTGCGTGCGGCCGGGTGGGGTGGATATGAGGGGGGTTTGTCGAGTGCACCTGATCTGACACTCGGTAAATCTCAGCTTTGCCGAGTGCCAGATTAGGGACACTCGACAAACCCATTTTTTTTCATTTTCACACTGTGCGTGTGTGCGGCCGGTGGGGGGTTTTGCCGAGTGTCCCAGATCTGACACTCGGCAAACTCCAGGTTTGCCGAGTGTCCCATGTTTACCGAGTGCCAGATTAGGGGCACTCGGCAAATCCAGTTTTTTTATTTTCCTTCTTTTTCTTCTTTTCTATAATATGTTTTTCTAAATTTGTTCCGATATACTTTGAAAATACCTTGTCAAATTCACTCAACAGTATATATTTTATTTTTCTACGAATATTATTCCATTATTTCATGCAGTTATAACTAAAATTCAATTTATATCAATTAAAATTCTATAATTGCACTTAATAAATTAAAATTATCAAACGGATCCAAAATATTATCAAAATTTCACATGAAACAATCTATGTTCTCTATTACCTATACAAAAAGTTTTAAATTCAAACTCCAATTTGACCGTCACTTTGATTCTAAATCTTACCGAATCCTTCTCAACGCTACGATTCTTCTTTTGAGATGCTTCGGTTTGTAAACATCGTACGTGACAAATTCTGTGAAACCTTCTCATTTTTTTACCACAGCCTCCACGTATGATATCATCACATCATGACAAATCTCATGATTTTCAGACTTCGTTTGCTTTTTTTAGAATTTAAAAATCATTCGGCCACACGTTCGTGGTCATGTTTTCTAAACAAGGTTTTCGAAATTTCTTTTCATTTCCTGGGTAAGGCCTCACAATGGACTTAATAACATGAATATCATTTTTCTACTCATTTTATTCTATTATTTGAATCACTTGCCGTTCAAATTTGACTTATACCAAAAAATTCTTCGAAATACAATAAATTAATTAAATATAGCAAACATGTTCAAAAATATACCAAATCTTAACATGGAGCACCACATGTTGTATGTGGAGAGCAGAAAAAGTTTCAAGGTCAGAAGAGAAAAAAAACTTGTTTCTTTGTCGAGTGCCAAACAAATACACTTGACAAACTTGTTTCTTTGTTGAGTGATAAATAATTACTCTCGGCAAACATATTTTATTGTCGAGTGTATTTGTTTGCCGAGTGTTTGCATTAACGGACACTCGGCAAACGTACTAACTGACGGCACACGGACTAATGGTTCTCCACGTGGTGGTTCTTTGCCGAGTGCCTAGCTTTTGCCGAGTGTTTTTTTTTTCTGGTTTGTCAAGTGCCAAACTTTGTCGAGTGTTTTTTGCCTTTTTTGCCGAGTGCAATTACTTTGGCGAGTGTTTTTTTAAAAGCACTCGGCAAAGAGCTTCTTTGATGAGTGTCCGATATAATGCATTCGACAAATATTCTTGCACTCGGCAAACACCGAGTTTCCGGTAGTGAGGAGCCGGGAAGAGCTGAAAGGGCATTTGCTCACTATGTTGTTGCGACAGTCCTAAAGAAGTTCTACGCCTTGGAAATCGATGAGTTAATTGCTCCTCCTGGAGTAGAGATCATAGACTTTCTTCAGGCACCTTCGTCGCCAATTCCCTGGCTGACAGAGGAAGAACTGGGACAGTATGCCGAAAAGTTTGAGAAGACTGGCTTCACAGGACCCCTCAACTACTACCGCATGCTTGTAACGTAATTTCCATACCGTCTGTCCTCCTCTTGCATCGATGCCTTCTGTTTGATTTCCATACCTGATCATACCCCTCTGTCACTGAAGTGATGTATATATGGCCTTTGCAGAAACTGGAGACTCACTGCACCTTGGAGTGGATCGAAAATCATAGTGCCTGCAAAATTCATACTAAGCAAGAACGACGTTGGTCAGCAGTCCTTCGGAACTGAGAAGTACGTCAAGAGTGGTGGTTTAAAGGAGAATGTCCAGATCTTGAGGTTTCAATCATTGAGGGACACCATTTCATCCAGCAAGAACAGGCCGAGAGAGTGAATTCGGAAATACTTTCCTTCCTTGACAAGTTTCCCAGCGAGGGAGGGTCAGCATGATGTTATTGTTTCCAGTCCAGTCCTGAGAGGAAGATGGTCTCAGATCTATGGGTGACGCCGTGACGGTGACCGGAAGCTTTTCCAAACTGAAAATGGTGAAGCTGACATCTTGATGATGTAAAACTGTTTATGATTGAATAAAGTGAGAGCTGAATTAATGATGTTGGCTTGCATTTAGAGATAAAATAAAGAGCATGCATGTAAAACAGTTTATGATTAAATAAACTTCCTTCGATGATTGATGTTATATCAGGTCCTATAATTTTCCAATCCGTGTGCTATATTTGTTTGCATCCGAGCAATGCAGAAAACTCGCCTTTTTTTTTTGGGTTAGCATTATACTCACCTCGATTAGGATTTAGGAACACTTGCAGGTGTCATGTATACTCTCACCTCAACATGGTTTACATGCTTTGATTACAGTCAACAGCTAACCAGAACATATCATCAACATCACACTTACGTTTTCTCTTATACTGTAACGGGGAAAAGCACAGAAACTGCACAAGATGAACCAATTCATCCACAGTTCATACAGGCGAACGGTACAGTTCAGCGTCGTCAGCATACAGGTGCAGTGTTCTCCGGCGATGCACGCTTGGGCTTGATGGACCGGACCTTCACGTAGCGGCGCATGATTCCCATCACCCTCCTTCCGGGCACCTGTCCAGGACGCTTTGCCTCACCTGCTGCAGCTCCTTCTGCAACTTCACGAACAGGGACAGCAGCATTCTCTTCCGTGCCTCCGGTGGCGGCGTCCTTCACGCCGTCGACGGCCTCGTCCTCTATCAGCTCCTGCAGCGAGAAACGACGGGAGTTATCCTGGCACTCCTCCTGCTGCTGCTGTGCCTCGCTCTCGTCGTCCTTCTTCACAAGACGACATGTCTGCAGCGGCGATGCCTGCTCCTTGGTGTCTTCAGAGCGACGTACTGACGTCTCGTGCTCTTGGTGAGCATCCTCAGGTTGCCGTGACTGGAGGTGATCCGACAAGCAGAACAGGCCATCTGGATCCTGTTGCTCCGGCTGTACCATCGGTTGGAATAATCCCAATCCTTCCACGTCCACGGCCTGATGATCTTGTTCATGGCAACTGGTGGCCGAGGTTGCTGCTGCTGGCCTCCTCGTCCTCCTTGACATGGTGAGATCAAACCGCCGAGGCTTAGTCTCGTCTCTGCGTAGTCCGCTTGCCATTGCGGCCTGAAGCTTGAACGACATGACAGGATACAACTGCTTACTAGCTAGCTCTCTATGGATTCAGTAGACAAACAGTTGGGAAAATATTTGATTATATACTGAAGTCTGAAGGCCATCAGATAGCTTCTGGGGTCGATGCATTAGTGTGCACGAATACTGGTCCTGGGACTGTGAAATTTCAATGAATCAGATCGAGGTCAGTGTTAAGTGGGATTGAAGGCAGTGTGCATGGTACACGAAGGGGGATCGATCAGTCCAGCTAGCTTTCTGAACTTTAATCTCAACGGCAGGTACACTCGGAGAGAAATGCACTTGTCAGCTCAGCTGTGTATACTTCGGGATGGCTTTGGGATGAAGTTGAAGGGATGATCGATCGGAAGATGAGTACGCTATGAATGACTAGTAACTCTCGTCCTGGATTTGCAGCCGGAGAATCCGATCGTCCAAGAAGTGTTGGGTTGATCTCCACCAATTTAGCTCAACAGTCAATTGGGCCCTTGACTCGTGCTCTGATCGGGGGTGTCCAGCCGCTCTCCTGGCTGGTGGCCCCCGTCGCGCAGCGCTATATAAAGGAGGTGGTAGCTGGGGCTCGAAACACGAGGTTCACCGCAGCCGCCAGTTCCTCACCGAGTCTAACCCTAGTCCGATCTAGAGGGAGAGCTGTGAGCGACAGGAAACTCCACCGACCTTCACCGCCGTCACTGGACCGTGCCACCACTACGATGCTACCTCTACTCCGACACCAGTGGCCACGTCGCTGCGACGCCATGGCCGTGACTACGCTTGGCGACCCAAGTCTTCTATCTAAGCTAAGTATTACCCACTGATTTACACCTAGAAGTACTTTCAGATCCATCGAGAAGCAGTAGGACGGTGACTGTGAGAACAATTGATAGCTGCGGCAGGCCTACAGGGAAAGTTTCTGCACTTTGTTCAGTATTACAGACGAAAAGAGAGAAAATTTTCTTCAGCGTTCGATCACGCCAGACGCCACATGTCTGGTCAATTGGACAACGGTCAGTATACAGAAGACCTTGGAGGGTTAGAAGTCACCGGTCTGAACAAGTTTAGAAGAGCCCTACCACTTCGTTGGCCATGGCAAGAATGAGTGGATGGCGCTAATCTGTGGGCAGGAAAACAAGTCCTAGCAAATGCAGCTGACCGACTCTTCAATGCATCCACCTTAGTAACAGTGGGAAATGGCAATAAAGCACGGTTCTAGCACCACAATTGGCTTGATGGAAAGCGTCGAGAAATTTTGGCACCACACTTATTCAAGCTAGTTAAAGGAAAAAAAACAAGTCTGTTAAGCAAGAGCTCTAGAAGACTAGAATGATGCCTGGATTTGGATTATATGTGACAACATTATAATGACCAACCAAATTGAGGAGCTCGTCTCATTGTCAATTAGGTTTTAGAATGTACATTTTTTTAGGTCAACATCGGGAGAGCTGAGAGGCTCCACCTGATTATATTTTTCACATATTTCGGTAAGCCGATAATGGAGGATGCAAAGCACCTAGTACCTGAGCGACCTTTGAAGGGTCCAACTGGGTACAAAGAGAGAGGGAGGAGGGGAGAGATGACAACCACGTCAACACCAACAACAATACAATAACATGGTACAGCTATAGGCTCAGCCTATATCTGGAGCTAGTGCGAGCACCACAATCCTGATCTGTGACACCACCAATGACGGACTCTGAAGATCTCTAATCCACAAGCAGCTGAAGTGAGTCGGTTCCGACAGATGACAGCCATGTAGCTGTAAGACATGTACATTTGGTGTATAATTTGGAAAGCTCACACTGAGGACAAGTGTAGTTTGTTTGCTTGGACATTCGTACAGAGCGAAATTGTCACGGCAGATAATTTGACTTCAAGAAGATGGCCACATCGGGACTTGTTGCATTTTGTGCGATGGGCCACTTAAGACTGGCCTACACATGTGCCTCCTTTGCCCTGAAACTTTGTTTGGCATCAAGTGTTGGCCCGGGAACACTTTGATGCCAACATGTGGATGATTCATCGTCCATCAGCTCTTGGTGAGAAGGAACAACCTAAAAGCTTGAAAAAGAGCAACGAAGATTTGTTTCAACGACTTGGCCGTTTACATCGTGTGGAGTATTTGAAAAGAGCAAAACCAAAGAATTTTTAAGAACAACTTTCCAAATAGCATTGCAGGTTGATTTGAAATTAAAGGAAGACATCGAGAAGGATGCTTGTTTTGGTGTAATCTATCTTTGATTTGTTTGTTGCTTTCTTAAGTGTGGTGCCTCAGGTGATTTTTTTTTTTTTTTTGGGGGTCTCTTTGGGTAGCCCAGTTTCTCTTGTTTCTCGACTCTCTTTTGTCTCTTATATACTATACTTTATTATTATTGAATTTAGAAGAAAACTAGAACAAGTTTCATGTTTTTTATAATTTGAAACAAATTAGTCATGAATTTTTGAAAGATCAAACTACATTTTTATTAGTTTAGGAAATAGAAAACCACATTTGAAACTAGATTTTTATTATTTTATTTAAGAAAATAGAAAAACACTTTTGAAGCCCGTCAAAGTACGAAATTTGTGCGGTTTCAACAGTTGGGGATGTATATTATCTAGTTTTTATAGTTCAAGGATGAGAGTTGGATTAAGCTGTGAGTTGGGGTTGAAAAATATACTTTACCCTTCTCTCATTTTTCTTAAAAAAGAAACCCAAATTAGGGTCGGTCTCCGTGAGACGTCCGATCGCAGATGTGCGGCTCAGATCAAGCGGGAGAGGAGAACACGCAGACGGCAAATCTTTTTCACGAGCCGGAGCGCTGGCGATCGGCGGCGGCGGCGGGCGGGCGGGGAAGGGAGGAGATGGGGCTCGAGCGATCGCCGGATATCACCAGACCCTTGGCGATCGAAGGCCCGTCCGAGGTGAGGGCGCCCGCCAGGTCTCTTTCGTCCCTCGCTCGCTCCTTTGGTTCGCTTCGCCGTTAGGTTAGGCCTCCGTGGCCGTGCTGCAGAAAGTAATAATGTCAAGGGAAATACAGTGGCGATGCTAATCTGAAACCCGGTCAAGATCGAGTTCGTGTCCAATGGAACTGTTTTTTTTTTCCAGCAAGCACGTCGGTGGATTGATCGATACGACGATGCTGCTTTGATCCAGTTGAAGGCCGGCACTCCGTGCATGGCCGATCTCCTGGACTGGATCATAACTGTTTCAATCTAATCTGCACGCGTCTCAGAGTTCAGATGGTAGTGATGGATTCTGAACAAACAACTGCAACTGTTGACTCTATCATATGCCTCCTCCCTGGTCCCTGCAATCAGATTGACGTGTTCTCATTTTTTTAATTCAAAAGAATTGCGTTTAATAACAAACAGAAACAGGTGGTTGTGACCGATTGGGTGATTTAGCAGAAGCATCTCTCATTCTCTCGTCTGAACTGCAGCTAGGTGGACAGACAGAAGCAAGCACGGTGGAAAGCATTTCGCGTGGAAACTTGCTCGAGGCCGGGCCTACCGCTACGCTCTCTTGTGGCTCTCATCACTCAAGGCGTCGCGTCACTGTTCGTTGATGCAAGCGTGCAATTCCACGTCAAGAATTACTGCTCTTCTCTCCTGTTTCTTGTCCATGCACGAGACGAGACGAGAATTCTTGGCCTTTGGCAGCTACCGCAGGTCTCGGTATGCATGCCCCTGCTGGGTGCTGGCCACGGTGAAACGATGAGATTTTTATCAGATGAAGGTACATTGACACGAAATGGCAGCTTCAGTTTTTTGTCAGATGTCCCTGAAACTGACCCGACTTTTTGTTCTGTTCTGTTCAGCGATATTTTGTGGTGTCTGTGGGGACACTACACATCAAATACGAATGAAGTACAGGGTCAGCATCAATGTTCTGAATACGAGACGTCCTGTTTCATCACATCACAACGTACATACAGCGTGCCATTGTCATGGCATGCTGCTACTCCTGCAAGGTTTCAGGTTTGGGGGGAGAAGTACACCTAGAACTGGCCTGCAGTCAACACGGATTGCTATGGAAACTGAAGCAGGATTTCAGCTAAGATGCTTTGCAATGATCCGGACTGCATGCTTTATCTTGGATTTTGCATGTCCCTGGAACTGAATCACTTCACTCCCCGCAATGCTAAGAGGTTTCAGGCTTTGCTGCCAAAGCTATGTGCATTCAGCATTCTACATGGATTCCCCAATCTTGTCTTGTACTAATCCGCAGTGACGAACAGAAGAAACACCTATCCACATGGATTCCTCTTTTCACTCTGCTGATAGCCTGATACAACACAACTCAGCAAGGTACTGCTACCTCATTCTTGAACCTTCATTACTTTAATTTTGAGCGAAATTTTGAATCTTTATTTACTGCATTAGGATGGTAATTAGCCTTTTGTCTCTGTAATACCTGCAAACAGAACCAAACGTGAGACAATTAACCCGCCAACGCAACTAAAATTAGAACAAAATAATAACTAGTATAGTAAATGACACAGAAATGGGAATAAAGGGAGGATAATGAAATGTGATCATTCCAGGGTTGGTGGGCCAGATGGGCTTAACTGTAAGGCTTGAATTGGCCATCCCATGATGATTTTAGCTTGACCAATGCCTCTTCTTTCACTTTCCCTTTTCCTTTTCGCTTGAGAAAGAAGACGGATGAGGCTTATATGTTCTGGTGCAGCTAGATTCTTGTCAATAATTGAGACAACCACGGACCACACAGTATTTTCCACGCTCTAGGCAGCTAATGGTGATCGGTTCCCTCACGCCAAGTTAAGGCTAAGGGGCCGGCCGGCCGGCAGGCAGGCAGGCTATGGTCCATCATGCCTAGCTGCGGCAATAATGTCATCATCATATATAAACGCATTCATAATCACCTCCTAGACGGCTTAACAGGCACCTGTCGTCGTAATAATAATCTTTGTTTCTCTCAAACTAACTGAAGTTTTCAATCAGGATCAATTGGTTCATTCGTTCAAGGTTCATTCGTTCAAGCAAAA